GTAAAAATTTATTTGCCTTTCACAGTTGCAAAGTTTTTTTTGTATATACACAGCGTTCGCTTAGCGAAAGGAACCTCGTCTTTTTCCTCCTGCTGATTTAGGACATAAAAGTGACGAAATCAGCCAAAAACTCGTTGATAAAGCTGTATTATTATCGTTCATAGAGCTCGTATTCCTCTGTGAAAATAAACTAGCATATTTCGGTACAGCATGCTTCAGGTTATATATAAATGTGTGTGTGTGTGTGTAAGTAAATATCATGTTTGTTCGGAGACCCGTATAGGTTAGATATTTTTATATTTAAGTAGGTACACTCCAGGTTGTAGAATCTACGTTTATGCTTAAGTCGGCTGGGGTTTGTCAAATGGACCCTTCAATTCTAGAAAAACATCATAGCGTGTACACTAACAAGTGAATGATTAGGATATCGCTTGCCGTGGCAGTTCCAATGCATTGCAGAACCTACCCAAGGGCGTCGGCTGCGGAACCACTAGATTTAGGTTCTACGGGAGGCCTTCTTGGACTTGTCGTTGGTTTTTGGAGGTGGGGTAAGTCCCAGCTGCAGCTGCTTCTCATAAATGTAATGGTACTGCTCGGTCCGGATAAAATCAATCACATGAGATACCTGCACAAATCAGAACCATTAAAATGGTAAATTATAAGCAATAATGGAAGTACGCAAACAGAAGATAACTTTGTCGTAACATAATATCGTGAAGCTTAAAAATTTCTATTTTTCATCGATTACTCAGAGGAGTGTTAGAAACGAATAGCTAGCAATTCGTTAATATAAGAGAAAAGAAAACAAAGGTCGAGCATCATCCGTTACATTTTTTAAAGTATTTACATGTTGTACTTCTTTATAAGTACAACCTGTGGGTGTTTGTAACCTGTTTAAACTTACTCCAACTTCAAGTTGGTCCGCAATTGGTTGAATCCAGGGGTTGTTTTCAAGGCGAATTACGGAACGATGTGTCACGAGATCGAGAGTGCCCAGTTCAGGTGGGATTAACGTGATCCGGTTACCTAAAAAGAAGAATTAGGTTTAAATAGAGAAATAAAAATAAATTCAGAATTATTTATTCAGAAGAAATTTATATCTATCTAAAATCAATAGAACCCTACACACACACACATATATATATATATATATATATATATATATATATGTAGTTTTGTTGTTAGCCGGACTTAAAGCAGCACTTCCTAGTCTTTTTTAAGCAAAGGTTTGGCTGTCCAAGCCACAGTGTCAATAGTTATTTACACGTCTGACTTCAGTATCCTCGAAGGCTACCTGTGCTCTGCCTACCTTGAAGGTGGAGTTCTCGCAAACGATTCAGGGCACTGATTTCTTTCGGGATATTGATAACGTCATTGTCACGAAATGAAAGGATCTGCAGTTCCTTTAGATTGCTCACCTGTGAAAAGAAAATAAAGAACAGCTATTAATTAGGAGGTAACCTTCTCAAAGCGAAAAAGGTTTGAACTTCTGAGGACATCCGTTAGTTATGTGTCCTAAATGACACAGCGGCATTATTAAACTTTTTTTGTTTTTCTTCGTTTTGTAACGTTTCTGAAAACCTACCTCGGCGGGAATTGTCTCAAAATCATTGTCACTGAAGTAGAGTGCCCTCAGGGTCATCATGCTCCAAAAATTGTTGGGGATTGAGGCTTCACTGAGATTGTTGTACGTGAGATCCAGCACCTCGAGTACTGCAAAGCTGCCGAAGCCACGAGGTAATACTGTCAACCTGTAACAGCAAACTTCTCGTTTAAAAATAGTAGTATAACATTGCGGTCTATAAAGCATGTGTTGGAATGTACTAAATCGGCTGATTTTTCCCATAAAAAAAAATCATCTTTGAACAACAAAAAATTCAAACAAGATTAGTAATGGCTTAATCTTGGAACGGTTAACCTTAACTTGCGGGTCGCGTTAGATAATTTTAGTCATTTGTCATTTAGGGACCCTTTTGTTTTTCCTTTGATGACTCATTTATTATATTTATTACACATCTTTATTTGAACTAAACATTGAATTTGGCGATAAAAGATTGCAGCCATTTTTTTTTAACACTGAAATCGTCACTTTAGAATCGTAAATTACTTTTGGTAGACAGAATACAAACTTGAGTATTTAGATAAACCTGTTCATGGCGAGAATTAGCATCTTGAGTTTTGGCAGGGTGCTGACTGAGGATGGCAACTGTTCGAGGTGATTATTTGCCAGGTTCAAATATTCGAGATTGTAGAGATTTGAAATTGTTGCCGGAATGCTCGTGATGAAGTTGTGCGCTAAACAGAGACGAGTAATCCACTCCATATTGAAGATCCCTATAGGTTTTGAGGAAGCATTTATAAATCAGTAGGTAACATAACAGTGACAATATCATTCGATTAAACGTGTCGTGTTTAGAGGCAATACAGCAGACAAATCAAGCGAAGAGATCGATTAAAAAAAAAAATAGAAACGAAACTTTTTTGATAGACAGAGTAATTTGAGGCGCCATACAATTGAATTTCAGCAACGCCAATGCCTCGGACCTGTGTATTTTATATGAGGTCAAGTCGACTCGAAAATACAGTTTATCTTAAGCTTTAATTGTTTTGGCTTAAAGCTGGAGACAGCAAACTATGCAGACTACAGGAGCTTATCGAAAATTCAAACATGTCCTAATATAAAGTCCTTCCGAAATACGATAGGTTCAGTTATCAATCGTAAATAAATTACCTGGAATCTCCTCAAATCGGTAGATATTTCTGTCGACGAGATCAACCTCCGTCGAGCCCTGTTCACGGGCTTCGTGGATCACCTGAAGACGAGGCATAATAATTAACATTCTGTTGCATAGCGCAAGTAACTCATTAATAAAACTCCCATAATCACACAAAATCATTGAAATAATGTTTCTTTAGCTTATTTCGAAACTGGGCAAGGTATCCACCGCAAACGATCGCCCATGCTGTATCCGACTTTCCCTTGAAATGTATGTCACATTACGATCCTTCTGGCTGTTTTTAATTTTACTTTCGCACGGCACCCTGAGGCTGTACAGAGCCGTCTATGTAACACCACAATCTGAGTTTCAGCTCCATGCGTGTTTTTGGACAATCAGCCATAATTTTTTTAGGTTGCCAACAAACAGGTAGCACAGGTTTTCCTTAAAGATATAATTTTTGGCCCGTGCCAAAAAACAAACCTTAACCATCACCTATTCTTGACACAGGCTACCTTTTTATCCAGATCACAACTAAGACAGGTTCAATTAAGGGTTTCGGGTCGATGCAGTATTTCACTATTTAGACACGCATCTAATCATCCCATAGTTATCGGACCGGAGCGATAAATCTAGCAAAGTACAGTCCACGGGTCTTCGCCTTCGTCTGTTCTGCTATTAAACACTCTCGAGCCCATTGTTTACCCAACACAATTCCCATGAATATTTATACGTATCATCAATGCGGACGGTACTAGTGGCCGCCTGGCCATTTGTAAGCGGTAATGCCGAGTTGTTTTCGAACATGGAAAATAAAAAAGAAATTGGTGGTGCCCATTTTGAACTACCGAAATACATGTTAAGCCCTATAAAAATCCCGAGCTTAAAAACATTTCCTTATTCTAAAAAAAAGCTTTTAGGCCCCGTCTCGCGCCTGTACTCTACAAAATGACAGCATGACGACTAGCTTTGATAGGGAACATTAAGGATCATAACCCTAGCCATTTTCAAGGGCAAATCTCATAAACTTTTTTAATATTTCCAAATAATTTGCAGAGCCAAAGTTTCGATGAGCGCAAGTCGATCGCTCAATCTAAACTTGTAACTTGCTTCTATGTATGGAGAATCATTCAGATGAATTCACCGGATGTCAACTTTCGTGCATATGGGTAGTTTTTTACTCTATTTCTATATACCCTTATAAACGGATACTGAGTAGAGAAAAAAAGGTTAGTAACATTGAAAACAGTGGCAGGGTCGAATGAATAGTTGAATGCTTTCAATTTTACCGTCACCTAAGACTTAATCCGTCGTTAAATTGTAGCAATAGCAATTGCTTAAGATGATTTTTTTTGTCATCCACAGACTTGGTTTTCTTCAAATCATTTTCACTCGATGAGCTGTAAAGCGAATTTTGCTAAAAATATAAATAATGAGTGGTTCAGATTTTGCGTCCGGCTGCTGTTAAATGTTGGTTTATATGGTCTGTTCGTCTAAGCTCAAAGTGTATCTACTCCTGATTTCGAATTCAGATTACCTTACGTGTCTTTACTATCTCGGAAACATTTGCGACAGGCGTTGATTTATGGAGTCGACGAGTTAGACAACGGTTTGCAAGAAAACCACAATCGAATCAACCGCCCAAAGGTCTGATAAGAGCTTTATACTGAACTAGTAAATGTTTCGACTTTTGACCAATACTCTGCATTTTTCGAGTTTCACACATCCAGTAGTACTTTTTTGTCCAGTACTGCCGTTATTGATTCACATTGTTTTCGAAGGCTGGACCATCCCAGAAAAAAACAAAGTGTGATTGCGCCCAGTTTTTAATCTAAGCCTCTGTATGTTCCGTGTTTTACGTCCGGCATCGCCGTCAAGCGTTCTATCAGGCAGACACCTGGCTGACTCTCAGCCTGAAACGAGGTCTATCTATACCCGGATTTGAACCTAGATCTGCGCTGTACTGATGTAATATTGCCAGGACGTCGTCTTTTCCGATATGATTGTCACATTTGTACGGGTTATAGTTTTTCGCAAACAAATTATCTGGTGAACTGTACGGCAACAGAGATCAGTGGTTTTTCCAATCACCAGAGACTTAGCACTATAGGGCACAACGGCTCTCTGCCCTATTGTACATGCAAAATTTCGTTCGGTTTTGTCAGAATGCAAATAATTATATAATCTTAATAATCTAGTGTTAATCATTTCAGCAGAAACGACAATTAAGCAAAAATATACAGCAGTTATATAAGCAGCTTTTTACCTTTTTCAGTGCAGACATCTTTGACGATCTACGGACACAGATTTCCATATTATTTCCAGCAGCTGTCTGCGTGATAACGGGTCTTAAACAGGCAAGGATTCCATTACGTGACCAAGGGAATGCGGCTGAACTTAAGGTGAGACATCCCGTCTATAGACCAAGTAAACTTTATACTACACTTCGATTCATTCATATCAACGGGCGATTTGCGGTCAAACGTCTCTCGCACAATAGGGTTCATCAGTCTTGTCGTTCTCTGCCACACTACAATAGGTAGTTGCTTTCTTTGTATTAGAATTAATAATAATACACTGTTAGCTAAACAGGCGTTTTTGCTTAGAATATCGTGGCGCTCCTGTAAATAGATTTAGGAACTATGCAAACCTGTAAGTGTTCATCACAATCTAATTACGTAATAATTTATTTAATAGGAACTTCGTTATTACGCAAGGAAACAGAAGACCTAGTAACGCCTCACGCTACGAGCCATAGTTAGGATTGGGATCTAGGCACTTTGCTATTCTACGCCAGCGGATAAGACGTAACCACTGTGCGTTTGTGTCATTGGCTAGCTTATGCCAACATAAAGCAAATGGCTGCTTTTGTCGAAAGTGACGTTGTTAAGACTTCAAGCCATGCAACCATGACGGGACGTTTAACCAAATTAATGTATACGTAATGACAATTGAAAAGCATGTCTATATTTTGAATTTTCGTCCCTTTGGCGCCAATTTTTCTGCCTTTATAACGCAAAATACCTGGCGTATGGATGTTTTTAAATTAGATTGCATAGCAGTTGCAGTCGGCTGATATGAACGCTATTAAGAAGCTTGGATAATACCCTTATGGGCAACTTTTATTGTAATGTTTAAGAAAGAATCAGGAGACCCGTCATGTTTCTTAATCAAACTAAATTTGTTCCCGGTTCATTTGTCTTTCAAAATGATGAAGTATTGGCCATATCGTATTTAGTTAGAACTGACATAGCGCTAGCGATTTTGCCGCACTGCATTTGGACAGATAATTTCGAGAAACTTTCAGGGCAGTCAATCTTCTAGTCTAGGTCTGCAGCTGACTGGATAGCTTGGAGAATTAATCAGAGGCTCAAATGGAAAGCTTTAGTTAAAAGCCTGGTAGCTCTGGCAAAAGTTTCACCTTCTTAATGACAGCATGAGGTAGACGAGTGAAAAGGAGCAGTCCTAGTGAGTACTTGTACAATCATTCGTACAGGATCGTCATGATCTTCTTAAATTCGAAGCATTGTACAACACGTATTGAACGAGGTTTATTTTTAGAACAACAAACAAATCTTCCCAACGGTTTTATGTCACAACGAGATTATATCTAAACTTGCCAGATTCTATAGAGGGTCGCAATCTGTCTGTTATCGAACTCTACTTTTACAAAAATGTATGTTATTGAAAATCTTTTTCTCGACCACTAACAGGCGGAGTCATCACTTTAATTAAACTTTAAGTTGACTTTGCCAGCAAGTGTGAGAGTCGCGAGTGCACGAGTCAGTTAGGAAAATCGGCTTATGTAGTCCGTCTATTGTTATCGATACCTTGTCACGTTGCCGACTGTCACCAATCCTAGCGATGTGTCACCGGGGATGCTCATACCCTTCTATACTATTCTATGAATTTCGATTTGTGACCACCCCTGTTCCACTCCGCCCAAGGAAAAGACTCACAAATATCGTAATAGTACCCAATTGACCCATCCAATTATTTGCAAGATGTGTCCGGAAGTTGACATGGTGAGCAGTGCTATCTACTAATAGAGAGAGTCTCCGAGCCCGGAGCTGAGTGTTATTCCGTGAAGCGAGTACGCAAACTTCCATTATTAGATGGCCGGCTTCCAGCACGAAGCAGAGCTATAAAGTAAAGCATATTAAACGCGTATCTTATATCAAATTAATTAATACTTTTGCGCTTTCAGTAATAAGTAGATTTCTTATAATTTAATCTTTCATCGAATAGTTTCTATAATGTGCGCGTCCTCGCGCCAAAACAGGTTCTCTGAACGAATATTTGCAAGCTTCTTCTAACTATTAACAATTACTGAACTCGTGTCGAACTTCAAGACATCTCACTTGTATAAAGGTCAGCTCCTTTTGTGAAATTTATGGTAACCTATTGTTTTAATTGAGAGAAAGCAATTAGAACTGATGCAACTCCAAGGTTGGCAATTCAATATAACGATATTTAAGAGGTCATAATGCGCAATGAATTTGTGTAACAACAGAAGCATCCGACATTACGACAACAAAGAATTGCAATTAATTCATCATATAGCGTACTTTCATGGCAAACACTTTAAACGTAACTGAATCCAATTTTTACCCGTTGTCTTAACGTATTAGATAATTTTCTTAATAATAATTTAATTTATAATTAATCAATTTAGAAATGTAAACAATTGATTTTTTTTTGTATTTTCAAAAAAGCTTTTGAACTTATCTTTTATATATATATATATATATATATATCGTATATTTCCAACACTCTGTCTACTATGACCCCTTTAGCTTTCTATTTATGGACCAACCCAGCTTTCAAGTCGCTCGGATCAAAGTATCGTAAACATAACGTGAATCAATTTCAATACAGTTTAATGGATCATCATGATTCAGTTAACTTATATTATAGGTATTCAGGTGTAAGTTTCACATATGTGTTAAATAAATATTAGTTCAGCTTTTACCCTGAAAGGTGAGCATCCAAGTAACAGCGCCTAAATGGAGGATGTTCGCCAAGTAATGCTTACTTTTTATATGTTTATGTATGGTAAACATCCTCTACTTGATTGAAATAAGCATTTATATTATAACAGATTCAATTGTTTGACTCGGCAAACTTTTACAGCTTATTATTCTTACTATCATTATTATCTGCGAGCTGCCATCAAAATCACAATTAGCAAACATTATTATGGGATTCGTCAGAGGATAATAACATTGGTAGAATTAATAAAACACATCTAGCTATGCATTTTCGCTTCATGCCGTCGTTAAAATTACCTGCCCAAATCTTCAAGAGGCCCTATTGACGAACGGCTAGCGCCAAAACGCTCTTTCCATCGATTAGCTAAATCACGTACTTATAAGCTGGAAGCTACCCGGCTGACGTCAGTCGACCGTGCCCAATTGCCACGAGCGCTGGCCCGTCAATACGCCGGCCAGATTATCGAAAGCTCTCATTCGGCCAATGACGTATTTACCGCGAGCGCGATCATTATAGTGATGCTTCGCCGAACAAATCGAAACGTTTGTTGCGTACGTATCTTCCATAGCAATAAAAAAATTGTTATGGCCCTACGTCCAGTGTCACGACTATCGATAGCTCCGGCATTCATGTCTCTTTCTATTTGCTTCTTGAAAATATTGTTCAATATTTCAGTGGCGGTTTCTCCTCGAAAACAACGTGAATGTCCTCGTTGACGGATCGCACGGAAATGTTTACTCGTATTAGGTGCCGCCGATTCAGTATTGCCGTCGGTCCTGCCTTGCAAACGGCGTACATTTGGCCCAATTAGATTCGTCGAATACTAATAATAGCAACTGTCATAGAAACAATGGGACATTTCATTAAGGCTATGGGGCCGGTCCACGCGCCCCATTTCAATTCGATCATCAAAATCGTGCGGATAGATACTGCCGTAGCAAGATTGGATAATTAGTCATGACGAGAATACCGCTGCTTAACAATAGCTACCTCGCCAGTGAATTATATCGTACATTTTACAGTTGAGCTGCTGCAATTGTTACAGTATCTGTGCTATCTCTTTTCATGATTGCACTACTGCTAGAAACGTTGCTTCTCGGAGAGCCTGCGGCTCGTTACCTCTGAGCCTATATTTTTACCGGATATTACAATTGATTGAACTATGACACCCGTCGCGCTAGGTCCTGTAGACCAAGTTATGAAAATTGCTCCACTGGGACGTTGCTGGAACTTTCTTTTTTCGAGTCGTACTATTTAGAAAACCAATACACAATACATCCGATCTGAGAAAAACTATTTTTCTCGATACAAAAAGTCCATTGTTTCTGTTGTAATCGGTTCGGTACTAGATCCGAAGGGTTGTTTTGAGAAGGATGACATTCATTCTCTATTCAGAAGTTGCACACATCCGCAGAGTACGCGCGACAGGCGATGGTTTATAGGGTCTTTCGGGCAGTGGCTGACGGTCGCCGAACTGCCATCGGTAGCGCGCTAAATTTCGTCTCAGCGGCTGCGTTTGACTGCTCTTTAAAAAATTGAAAAATATACATCTATGTTTGGACCAAGCTACCAGTGTTGTGTGCAGTAGAGATAAAATGCCGAGAATAACAAAGCTTGCTTTTCGAGACATCTTGGGTACTTTTTTTTTTTACCTTCGCAGCTTAAACGGCTTTGTAACAACTAGGGCTAAAACTTTCGTTGTGACAGAGAAATCTCCTTCGTCAACTGTGCAATGGTCAGTTTTAGAAAATGAAGCCAGAATGATGACGTTAAACCGTGTTTACATAAAAGGGACTCGTTTCAGATTCATTGGAGGTATCAGACAAGGATAAATATAGAAATTATATTAGGCCGGATTGACTTCGATAGTTTGCATTTATTTATGTGAAATTTCTCACAGCCACTATCATCATTAAATATCATTAGGTATTTATGTTTAATTGACTTTGTACGAGTGCAAGCCAGATTGTAGACGTCGCTGATATATATCTATCTTCACGTTACGAATGATCTTTGTTTGGCACAGGAGTGCCTCTAAGGATTTGATAAATTATGATGGGACTGTGGCGCTGTCGCAGCAGGAAACACCACGATATATTCGTCGAGTGTACAGGTCTTGGAAATTTCATGGTCTTTTTATTTTTTCGTATAATTTTCGTTACTTGGCCAGCAGGCATCTCTTGGAATAACAATTGCATGAATGTTCCATGTAACCTCACTGAAGTAACTCTATATTGGCGATGTTGCCAACATTTTTTTTGACAAGCAAGCAAGCAGATTAAATCTCATTGTAAGTGGGCCATCTCCGCTCGCATTTTGATTTAAGTATATTGTTCTACTTTATTACGTCGTGCTTGTAGCTCAGCTATCTTAGTGTTTCTCCCATCTGGTGAAAAACTTACCGTTTTGTAAGCAGTGTGAATTCTATAGATTTATGCTAGACACAAAAAAAGTAAGCGCTATTTAAAAAAAAACCCATTTAAGTTATCAATCGAGCGACTTCTATTGCCACGTCACATGTCCTGCTTGTTTTGCTACAGATTGGTGACGCAGTATTTACTACGTACGTTATCTGTTAATTGATCCACGTACTGGGTTTTCTCAACTTTTGAAAAGTACTTTTCATGTGCAAGAAAATATCATTGTGTGTCGACTTTGTTTATTGAAATTTTGACAGACGAGCTTTGCTAGTCTGAATTAATACAATAAACCCTGTACAACTCACGGTCTGAAACACAAAATGATACCCCATGACTTCTATTCTGACATGTTTCCTATGGCCAACAACTAACTGTTTCTGCCGATGTTCCTAGGAGAACCGAGCTTCGGTCATTAATTTCTAGATTATGGTCCTTACATATCCCATTTTCCTCGCTAAATTACTAGTCTTCACGAGCGGCGAGAGCAAGTCACGCATGGTTCAGATTAAGCATGATTAATGCTATCCAATGGCACAATTCCACCAACAGGACCTGGAATGGCGTTATCATTCATACTTTCGATATCCCTGTTCCTTACGCGTGTTGGTGTAAAAACAGTTACATCCTTTCACGTCTCGGCGCTGCATCGTTGTCTCTGCACATAAACGGTACGTTCCACAGTAGTGGGCAGAAATGGGCCATTTTCATCTATACTGCACCGTATAGTTCGACTGTAAGACGGTTAGCTGGCTGGTGTCGAAAACAAAGAACAGCAGAAGTCAGGATGAAGCAAAATCGTCTATTGATAATCTATAAGGAATGTCTCTCGTATTTAACCTATTTTCAAACTATCTAGAATTTAGTGCCTAACCTTGTATTTAGGTAAACTAGGACAATTTAAATATGGACATTATTAGTGTGTTAAGCTAATTATAGGTAATTTATGCACCATCATCCAGTGTTCCTAAATCGTAACCCGTCGTGAATAACGTCAAGATATAATTTCCCAAAAAATTTCCAGCCCTGTAAAGTAGCACCTCTTCCACTTCAGGCTTGTGTACCGTTTAAAGCACTAACCATCTACATACAGTATCTAGCCACAACATGTGGAATTTGCACACAACAGGCCTAAGTGATGTATTAGGCCATGTGTGTTGTATATGTATATGCGTACTAATACATGGTTTTGTCACATTTCGACTATTGCTACTTCACCCGCTATACGACTTCACTAACCCCTCATCACAACCGTGAACCAACAACAAGCTTACGTATATGGTGAGGCTCGCGCTCGGCGTTCGCCTCAGCAGGAGTCGAGTGATGCAAGCCAGTCAGTTGCCGAGTTATTATACAGCTGTTGTGTTTATGCTTCAGGCCCCCAGCCGGTCCCAATATTGGCTCAGTACGAAGGCGTATCACTGGGTTCGCCAGCAATCGCGTGGTAACGCTACCGCCCACACAGTTGGCAAATTTGTATAAGCCAGTGAGAAGCCTATATGGGCATAGGCTGTTCGATTTTCGATTTTGTCAAGATTTTGCCCAATCTTTTATCGAATACGACCGGCGTACGTCGCCGTCGGAACTGCTACAATATGCGAAACTTAATAAAATTGTATAATTTCGTTCATTTTACAACCGGGGCAAGCAATCATATAACGCACCAGCTACAATTGAGATTGTCTAAAGATAATTCTAAGATTTCGGATGTATTCGTAATGCATCAAACATAGAAATTTACACGAAACTTATATACGGTATATAAACAAAATGGAAATTTGTTTAGCGAGGTGATTATAATAAATATTTGCTTTTTTTTTTATTTCTTTCGGGTCCGAATGGGTGGCGTATAAATATTGTAACATTTTATTAAAAAAAAAATTTAAGGTATATATAGCTTGGACCAGTTTGCCCAGATTCTATTCAGAAGCTATTATAACTTTTGCACGGTCATTTGCAACTATAATTTCAGACATCCAGCCCCACTAATAGGATTTGACAAGGGTAACTTATCTATCTGTTTTCGTTGAATCCTACTCCGTGTATTTTATAGACCGATGCACTCAACAAACCCAACTTACCTTTTTGATTTTTGCCTGTTTGTTGAAGTCGAATAAGTTTGAACAGCCATTACAGGCACCTCCTTTTCCTCCTGACATATTTTCTTAGAAGTGTACGCTGGACTGAATAGAAAAGTTAACAAAACAGCTCGCTGTTTATTTCAACTGTCCTTGGATTACGTCGCCACGTCTGGATAACTTCCCGCGTACCTACTACAACTCGTGCAAGGGACTATGGTAATATGTAACGTAACGTTGTCAGACAAATCAGAAATGGAATATCTCACTGTAGCACGAACAAAAAATAGCTGTAACACTTTTTCGCACGAAACACAGACGCTTCTTTCCTTTATTCCGTCGTTTCGTTAAATAAATTTCGCGCGCACGAAGCTTATCACCAACTTACATCCAAATTTGTATCGTTTGCCCTCTCTTCCGTTAACGGCCGCGCACTAGTCACGCTCTCGTAATTAGCAGTTAGTATTAAAAGCTAATCTCGCATCTTTCGATAATTAGCAGCAGTAGCGACGACAACGATCGCGCAATTAATAAACATTACGATTAGATTTGTTACTGTTGATCTCAAAGTAAGTCGAAAACTCAAGCACGACTTGCCACCCCTCACCAATGTTCCCTGAATAGTGGTCCTGTCAGCGACTGGTCGGTATCAGGCTAGCCCCCCCCCCGATATGCCGCTGTATACGGCTGCTGTCCAGAGTAACAACAATAGCAATAACGGCGGTCGCAGCCGGTTCTCGACAAGGCTCCCAACAGACAGACACAAGCAAGTTCTCAAATGGACATCAGCAGCTTTTGTGAGGATCACGACCGTCACCGTAATCGGTTTTCGCCGACTTCGCACTGCCGCCAGCTCTCGCAAACTACTCACTGACTTAGCGTCTATAGAAGCTCGATTGCGCGGTGGCAGTAGCAGCGGCCACTGCTCTTCTGACTCAGTTATGGTAGAGAAGCTGCCGTAGAAGCTGATAATGGCAATCGCGATCGAAGCAGCCTTAGCTGTACTGCATGCAACGACTGTGGTCAAAAGGCAGTCATGTGTGTCGCCCTTGCGTTAATACTAGCGGCAGTAACAGAGAGTATTTGATATAGGGCGACAGAACTCGGTCCCTGTGCAGTCACTACGGTTGCTGCTGTCGGTTGGCACTATACTGAGTTGTGTTCTCTGGTCTTTCAACGCTGCCATTGGTACCGCCGCGCCATCGGAGAGTCGCTGCTCTTTCAGTTCGTGACCATGCCGGTGGTCGGCCACTGAGAGGCGCTGAGAAGACGAGCACAAGACGAGTACCGCGCAAGAATTGCCTTCCTATTTGGTCGTTGTGTATATCGGGTGGGTGCCGCGCATGCGCAGACCACAAAAACAGCGGCGGGGGCTCTGGTGTTAACGAAGGTAAAGCCAACGAAACAACGACGACCGGTTCGTTCGCTACACATGGGCTGCTTGCCTCTTTTAATACAGGTTATGGCGTTGGGTTTGTTTTCCGCGCGGAAGCAACGTCGAGCAGAGGTCGACGGTAGGCGCGCGACTTGTTGTCATTATCTTTGTTGTTGTTGGCTGGTGGTGACCGCTGAGTGATGACGGCGAGACCCGGGCCACACGTATACTGCCGTAGTAGCATAGTGACAGCCTGCCTGCCTGCCTGTAATGTTGCTCGAAATACGATCGACCATCGAATGTCGAGTCAACAGAAGGAACGATAGTGATTTAAAGATAGTTCACTCGTCCTTTTTTGATGGTGATTATTGGCTGCGGGCACGCAGCTGCGAATAGGCCCAATGTTACGAAAAACGCAAGGACACTGCCGCCAGGGTTCGGCGAAGCGGTAGTTGTTTGGTGCCACTTGGGCATCGAGTGTTTAATAGCGAGTCTCGTGCCGGGGCATCGTGTCGACCAAGTGACCAGTCGTCAAGTGATCTAATGCTGTTTCTCTGATTACGTGTGGGAATTTACAGCATAGGTCCGAAACTAAATGTGCCCAGGCAAATCCCTCCCAGTGCGTGTGCGGACTTCGTATTCAGATATGTTTTTTCTCGCTTAGCCACCACAGTATTGTATATTAGATATGTACAATGTTATACACAAGCAAGTAGCGAATATTATATATGATGGTACAAAGTGCACCTTCGCTGTTAGGATCATATCACAGCCATGACGTATTTGATAATCTGTAAAGATAATAGTACCGAGACAGAAGACTAAGTGATGCTTAACAACGAGGCAAGAAGATCTAGTAAAATTCATAAGTGAAGCTTTTTTCAAGTTTTATTACATTAAATAAACTTGCTTTCGGTGAACAGAAAAGTCCTTATGTTCTATCTTATGTATATTATGCATATATATGTACTTCTGCAGTCTGTTTGTATCTACATGTAAAACAAAAACAAAACATGTATCTACAATTCAAATATAAAAAGCGAGACACGCAGAAGTGGCCTTTTCTACATGGCTAGGTGCAGAAAGGCGGATACGTAGTTGCTTGTTATTTAACCACATAAGTAACGTAGCGAAATATAGCTAATGAAAAACAACTAGATGTAGAGTCATCCTCGATTACTATCCAGAGTGACGCTCCTCGAAGAGTCCTCAGGGGCTGGACTACTGCCTCTGTAGCCTATATACGATTATCGTTCCTTTGGAACTCTTTTCGCTGAGCACCGGTTCTGACCGACAAAGAAACTAGTGGCAGATCACTGGAGAAGAGATAGATGCCGCCGTTGTGGTAACGGCAGTAATATCGTCTTTATTTGCCTTATTCTGATTCAGTCATGGTAAACTGGATGTTGCGCTGAGGCTGGGGCGTTTGTGGGTTCGTTCTTGGTAATTTTAGGTTAGATTTACTAGTAACGCCTTTAGGTAGTGATTAGAATGCACCTTGTGTACTAATACGCAGGGCAAGCAGATAATAAAACGCTTGGAGGGACCACGTGGTACAGAAGCGCTAATCACAGCTCCCCAGCTTTGTGTTTCTGTATGCTAATAGATGAAAACTGGCATCATTAGGAATTGAACTACATAAATAGTTATCTCTGCGGTAATGTGTTCTTCTCGAATGGATGCATAATTCTCATTTCGTCGAAACTTCGAATCGAGAACGTTACCATGGTTGTTGGAACTGAACTAGAATCCAGCCAATCTAAAAATAGGATGGCAGCCTAAAATACCGCGAGGCAATCGCGTCTACCAAGGGTTTGTCGGTGTACGTCGTGCTTTTCAATGAAGGAGTACATGCGAAAAAAGTTCACGAATATTTGTTTCTAGCTAGTATTAACAAGTTTTCGCTAAGAGTCCTTTTTTTTTTCTAAGTATCCTTAAAGTACTTTGATGAGCAAGTCTTTTAACTGGATCGAGTTTTTTTTCTCAAACTAATTTTTCTAATTAACTGTGCGCTTAGTCGCAATCCGTGCTCTCATTTAGGCTTTGTTTGACTGAAATACAGACTCTACTTTGTTGTACGACGTACCGAATATCCGTTCAAATCGTTAAAGGTTAACGATTGCGGATAGAAAGTTCGTATTGGTAATTAAATGGGCTCGTTTGATGTTGAGAAGCACGTTAAACAAATGTAGTGAGTTTAGAAAGGAAAAGCTAGAGAAGTTGTCGTTGCTCTTCGCAAGAAGACAATTCATTGACAGTTCTGCCAATGTGTCTGTCAAAGTGATATTAAGAAAGCTGAATTTTTTTTGGGCAAAGAAAATTTACGTTTCGCTATATTTGAGAGATGATAAAACTCATTAGAATAACGGACGTTTCTTACGTGTCTGTGTCTATATAGCAAAAGCGACAAAAACTACATCTAGAATTAGCAAATTCATATTATTGGTTAACAGTTATTAACAGTATTGGTTAATTCATAATAGCTCTTTTAACCAATTCCCTCAATGCAATCGATGAAGTATCAGTTGCAAACCCGATTCAGTCAGCTTGCTTCTGTGTTGTGGACAGATCTGGGTTCATGTGATCAGGCATACTTGCTTGGTCGTTTCATCTTTGGTTAAGCACCTCATTACCATTATCTATTTATAACGTACCATCGTTTCGGGAAATTCAATCAGGTTTTTCTGAGAATGCCAGCATTGGTTAGATTCGGAGTCAAGCGGTCTGGAGAGTGGGCTGACTTACCTCGTCTTTTTCAGCTCTTGTATAAGTCATTTTAAAAATATACTAATAGTCATCGATCTGATTGTAAATATAGTTATTATTCCAATCAAATTAGCGCGCGAGAAACATTTCTGGATCATTCTCAACTTGACCTTTACGGCAATCGTTTCCAACAGCATTATGAGACATTTTTCTATTAAACATTAATTCTGTTTTAAGAAAATGCAGTAAAATTAACTAAACGGCAAACTTGCATAATGGTACGATTTTCTAAGGTGAAATATGGTGTTCAAAGGTTATGTGTTTGTAGGCTATTTTCTAGAATTGTGCACGAAAAAAAAAAAATTGGTAATTTTGAATCGATTGGTTTTTTTCTTTTACAATGACATTTCTACGAGAAAGAACAATGGCTGCAAATAATAAAAAGTATAAACTGTCGAGCGTTCTCAATCAGTTTTTATCTCTTCATTCAGTACTGCTTAACCGCCATCAAAAGAGTCATTGCCGGACACCGAAGCTCGCTCGAGCGCGGATTAGCTGTATGGTAGCATCTAAAACCATGGTCAATCAATCTCATCGATATTCTCGGTACAGGACCACTCTACCAGTTACTGACATCTTGCGACCTTCAAGAAAAACTATTGTTTTTTTGTTACTAGCTGTGGCGTAACCGCAGATTCATTGTCAAAGTGCTTCAAATCGCATTACTTACTTTACACACTGGGGGGGATCGCAAGCGGTGTTATTCGATTAAATAAGATCTAAATTGGTGTGTATAATGAATAACAAGTGGTTTATTAAAGAGGATCATTAGTGAACTGGAGAGGATGTGGGTCCATTTTTACCTAGTTAGGTCAGCATGTCGGGCAGCTAAAATGAACACAATACAGTAAGAATAGTCGGACAGGTAGTAGAGGTAACTAATATGTCAATGACTTTATTCTGTCTCACAAATCGGACCGATCCGGTGCGTGTACTTGGAGCCAGCAAGCATTGTCGTGGTATATAATTTCCAATGGCATCAGCTAGTTGGGTCGTGATATCTGGTAATATGGCGAGCGCCCATGACATATAACGGTACTGGCCAAGTCTCTTCAAGTTTTGACCTTTAATTCAAAACCAAATTTACATTAAAAAAATTTCATTGCTAAGAACACTTAGTAATCAGTGGGAATTTGCGTACGATTAATGAACCTAACATATGATCATCAACTCGTTAGAAGGTGGTTAAATTGCTTTTCAGCTATTCTGAAGGATTCGCCGTGCTACGAGCAGGATTTGTGGTGTCACTTCATCACGCGGTCAATTAAGGTCATGTCGCCATGTCCTTGGTGGTCGTATGTGCGATCTGTAATCGATAGACGAGATATTTTTGTCCCTACCTCCGGAGCAACTGACTCCGAAGTGCTATTCGCTATAGGCACTATCGCTCTTATCCAGATTTTGGACTACTCGAGAAATGCTCACTAATAGACGCTACATAAATTTCGTCTCAGACTCTTCCAATGAGCCTTTGAACATCGCAAGTATGATAATACAACGATTATCGCGTTAAAAAAAAAAAGCGTTAAAAAAGCGTTAAAAAAAATTATCAATTTTCGACTTGTTTCGTATTGGGATCTCACTCAGTGTCCGTTATGCGCTGACATATCGTACAAAAAATAAGTAATTATAGACACACCTTAATGCAAGCTCTATTTTAGATTTCAGTGCGTTCTCATTGACTTTTTTAATTAATTATTTTTTTTAATGTTATTATTAATTTTAGTTATTTATTAATATTAACACACTTCAATTCTAAATTACTTCAGTTTTGGATGTCTAAGAAAATACCACAAGATTGGAACAAGCGAATTCTATGAGAACGAATTACGGGGCCTCTATTTTAAAGACGCCGAAATATCTAACGTTGTTCGTGAAGTCATACTACGGTGTTATTATAGATAGCCACGATCACTGTAGCTTCCTTTCAGACTAGCTGAGTAAGTAGCTGTGTGGTTAATTCAATACGTTTCGGTATCATAGGTATTGAATCTTCATCGGCAAT